CATCACGGAGCTGGATGTGGAAAGTGTTGTTCCCTGCCGCGAGGATGGGACGTGGGTCAGCGAAGGCGACGCTGCCTCTGGCGCGCCTGCTGCCTCTGCAGCGCTCGCGGCGCCACCCGACGAGGAAGCGAAGCGGGATATTCAGCTTCTGCCTCCGCGCGCGGGCGACGCGAAGGACACGGGGCGCTTAGTGTCGCTGTCCGACTCGGACGACAGCAGTGACGGCGACGCAAAGGACACGGGGCGCTTAGTGCCACTGTCCGACGAGGACGACAGCAGCGACGACGGTTGCGACAGTTCCGAATCGGATGACGTTGCCTCGGCCGCGGAGCCGAGTGCTGCCTCTGGCGCAGTGCGTGGTGGTGCCTGGCGCACTGCGTGGTGGTGGTGCGCGGTGATTCATTCCAATGCTTATTCGGGCTGGTCGCGGGAGGCAATAATGTGGCTGTGCGAGCCAGGCCTCGTGAAGGAGCGGCGACGACGCATTTCCCGACTCATCAAGGACATGTCATCGGCGTGCGAGCACATTCCTCACCCTGATGATGTGATGGAAGGCATCCACCACTGGAGCGACACACCCGAGTACTGGAACCAAAGGTGGGACGTTGCGCGCGCCTGGGCGTCACACCAGATGCACTACCTCCGCGAGCTGACCGACGCCTGGGAAGACATTTCTTTGGGCGAGGGGAAGTATTGGCTTTGCAACGCCTGGCCCAACTTGATTCCCGCTGCCTCTGGCGCGCCGCGTGTGGGGTGCCTGCCGCGGGATCATCCCGGGTGGGGCCACCTGCGCGAGATGTTCGGAATCAACAGCAACACCGAATTCTTGAAGCACTTGTTCAACAAACACGACGGGGAGGTCAGAGTTGTTCGGTACTCTGGCTGGACGCGTGTGCGGCAGAATTGCGTGACTCATCCTCGACTGTGGCATTCCCAGTTCGCCAGGACGGAGAGTTCGCTGAGTTTTTTTTGTATTGGAGAGACAACAGCAAATGGCTCGAGTGGCGCGGTGTTGAGTGGATTCTCAACGAGCAGCCTGGCGGCCAGACGACGCTGCTCCGTCGTGCTCCCGCTGCCTCTGGCGCGGCTAGTGTGATTTTCGAGGTGGACATGCGACAAGGACAAGTCGTGACGCTCGCGCAGATGTTCGCCCTGGGCGCAGAGTACTGCACTGCCTACGACATGCACAAGCTGTACATGGATCTGCCCATCCTCGCCCACAAGCACAAGAGGGATAATAACAAGGGCCAGGGCGAAGTGAGCGCGAGTGCAATGACCTCCAGCTGCCTCTGGCGCTTCTTTCCTTTCAGAATGCACTGCCTTCCAGCTGCCTCTGGCGCTCCTTTTTCCTTGGCGGCGGCGCCCTGGACTGCTTCGCGGTTTCTCTTCCGCGCGCGCGCGCAAGAACAATCTTGCCCATGCCATGCTGCTGTTGCTGCTGCTGCTCCTCAATGCTGCTACAGGCTGCTCCTCACTGACGCTGCTGCTGCTGCTGCTTCCTCCTCCATGCTGCTGCTGCTGCTCCTCAGTGCTGCTGAGCTGCTGCTGCTGCTCCTCCTTCTCTCCTGCTCCTCCCGCTCTTCGCCTCCTCGCTCATTCTCTTGTTGCAGGCCTCTCCTGTCCTTCCGACGTCCGAGTGCCGCTCGACCGTGCAGTTGCGGTCGTGACTGGCCCCTGGCTGCCGCCCTCGCGCGTGTCGCCCGTGTCATCATAGGGAAGCGTGGCCAGAGGTCGGCTGCCTCTCGCGCCAGGGACTGTGACTTGGCTGCTTTGGCGCCGAGGGCGACGACCTGAGCAGCCGTGTGCTTCGGCGGAAGAGGGAACGCCCAGCCGCGTGCTTCGGCGCTGGCACCCTCGCGCGCTCCGTGCGATGCGGGGTTTACTCGCGGACGAGGTTCGGGCAGCTTGCTGGCGATTTAGTTTTGATTCCCATGTCTCGGGGAGCTCCTCCGCACGCCCAGCCAGTGCTCGGAGAGTCCGCGCTGCTCGTGCATGATGCGACCCCACCAAAACTAAACGAGACCGTAGGACGATTAAACAGGACCCTACCATGACTAAACGAGACCCTAGGACAACTAAGCAGGACCCTACCAAAACTAAACGAGAACCTAGGACAAATGAACATGACCCTACCGAAACTACCGAGACCCTAGGAACACTAAACAGGACTTTGCCAAAATTAAAAGAGACCTTAGGAACACTAAACAGGACCGTAGCAAAACTAAACAAGACCCTAGGACAACTAAACAGGGCCCTACCACAACTAAACGAGACCCTCGGAAAACTTAGCGGGGGAGAGGGGGGGGGGGGGGAGGGGCAGAAGAGGGGGGCTAGACAAAACCCTGGGACAATAGACACAACCCTGGAGAAAACAAAAAACCAGACAAGACCCTATGACAACTAGGCGAGACCCCAGGACAAGTAGACAAGACCCTAGCAAAACTAAACGAGACCCTAGGACAACTAAACATGACCCGACCAAAACTAAACGAGACCCTAGAACAACTCAGCCGGGCCCTACCCAACATACACGAGACCCAGCGAACACTAAACAGGACCCTGCCAAAACTAAACGAGACCCCAGGAACAATAAACAGGACCCTGACACCAAAACGAGACCCTAGGAACACTGAGCAGGACCCCGGCAAAACTAAACGAGACCCTCGGGAAACTAAACAGGACCCTGTCAAAACTAAACGAGGCCCTACGACAACCGAACAGGACCCTGCCAACGCTAGACGAGACCCTCGGAAAACTAAACAGGACCCTACCAACGCTAAACGAGACCCTCGGAAGACTAAACAGGACCCCACCAAAACTAAACGATACCGTAGGGAAACTAAACAGGACAATGTCAAAACTTAACGAGACCTTAGGAACATGAAACACGACCCGGGCAAAACTAAACGCGATCGCAGAAAATATAACTGAACAGGGCCTTGCCAAAACCCAACGAGACCCTGCGAAAACAAAACATGACCCGACCAAAGCTAAACGAGACCCTAGGACAACAAAACAGGACCCTAGCAAAACTAAACGAGACCCTAGGACAACTAGACAAGACCTTAGGACAACTAAACCAGACCCTCGGGCAACTAAATAGGACCCTACCAAAACTAAACGAGACCCCAGGACAAATAAACAGGACCCTACCAACGTTAAACGAGACCCTAGGACAAGTAAACAGGATCCTACCAACACTAAACGAGACCATAGGACAAATCTACAAGACCCTCCCACAAATAAACGAACCCTAGGACAACTAAACAGGACCCTGCCAAAACTAAAAGAGACCTTAGGACAACTAAACAGGGCCCTGGCAAAACTACACGAGGCCTAGGACAACCAGACAAGACCATAGGACAACTAACAAGACACTAGCAAAACTAAACAGGACCCTGCCTAACCAAATCTAACCATAGGAAAACGATACAGGACCCTGCCAAAACTAAACGAGACCCTAGGAACACTAAACAGGACCTTGCCAAAACTAGGCGAGACCCTCGGACAAATTAAACAGTACCCCAGCACAACTAAACGAGACCCTAGGACAAGTAAACAGAACCCTGTCACAACTAAACGAGACCCTAGGCAAATTAAACAGGACCTTACCACAAGTAAGCGAGGCCCTACGACAACTAAACAGGACCCTCGCAAAACTAAACGAGACCCTCGGACAACTAAACAGGACCCTGTCAAAATTAAACGACACCCTAGGGCAACTAAACATGACCCTGCCAAAACTAAACGAGACCCTGGGGCAACTGAATAGGACAATGCCAAAAGTAGACGAGACCTTAGCAAAATTAATCAGGACCCTAGCAAAGCTAAACGGGACCCTAGGACAAACTAAACAGGACCCTGCCAACACTAAACGAGACCCTAGGAACACTAAACATGACCCTGGCGAAACTCAACGAGACTCAAGGAAAACGAAACATGACCTTGGCAACACTAAACGAGTCCCAGCGAAAATTAAACAGGACCTTGGCAACACTAAGCGAGACCCTAGGAACACAAAGCAGGACCTTGGCACAACTAAACGAGACCTCAGGAAACCGAGACAGGGCCCTACCAAAGTTAAACGAGGCCATCGGACAACTGAACAGTGCCCTCGCAAAAACTAAACGAGACCCTAGGACAACTAAACAGGACCCTGCCAAAACTAAACGAGACCAGCGGAACATTTTAAAAAAGCCCAGCAACATTAAACGAGACCATAGGCAACTATACCAAAACTAACGAGACCCTAGGGAAACAATGCAGGACCCTGCCAAAAAACTACGAGACCCTCGGAAAACGAAACAGGACCTTAGTACAACTAAACGAGACCATAGGAAACGTAAACGAACCCTACCAAAACTAAACGAGACCCTCGGACAACTAAACAGGACCCCAGCAAAACTAAACCAGACCATTGGAAAACTAAGCAGGACCTTACCAAAACTAAACGAGACCCTACAGGACCCTGCCAACATTAAACGAAACCCTAGGACAACGAAACAGGACCCTGCCAACATTAAACGAGACCCAGCGAACACTAAACAGGGCCCTGGCAAAACTAAACGAGACCTCCGGAAAACTAAACAGGACCCCGCCAAAACTAAAAGAGACCTTAGGACAAGCAGGACCCTGGCAGCACTAAACGAGACCCCATGAAAACTACACAGGATCCCAGCATAACTAAACGAGACCCTTGGAAAACTAAACAGGACCCTGCCACAACTAAACGAGACCCCGGAAAATAATTTAAACAGGACCTGCAGGAAACAATGTATATATCAGTGATCTGAGTGAGGATTGTCGTGCATGCGCTGTTGTGACATTTGTGTACTGTGGAGAGCCAGTTTTGGCTCAGTTCATGCTGAGGTGGAAAAGAGATGTCACCAGCCCTGTCGGGCAAGGTCCGTGGACCCCAGCTCCGCTACCCGAAGTTATCAAGATAACATGCGCTTATTAGTTCAGTACTTGCATGGTAGCGTGATGGGTTTCTTCTCCAGATGGCTGGTCTTGTAGACGCGCGCCTGTTGGGACGACCGAACAAGTATTCAGGCAATCGAGATGAGTTTCCGACTTTAAGATATCAGCTGATCAGCTACCTTGGCGCGATTGACCCGAGGTTGGCATCAGCAGTGGCAACGGCAGCTAGCCACGGCGCAGTCATCACGTTGACCGAGATGGGAGACGATAACAAGCAGTATGCAGCAACGATGGGATACATTCTGTCACAGTTGTTGGGAGGCAGCGCGCTCACCTTGGTGATGAACTGCGAGCAAGGAAGTGGATTGGAGCAGCGGAGACGACTATGCATGCGAGAAGATGCGGCGACAAGCTCCAACAAGGTGACGCAGCTGCAGCTGTTAGTGAACACTGAGTTTTCAGGCACATGGGAGACCTACGTCGAAGAGCTCACGAAGTTTCTGTTGGACGTCAACCGGTATCAAGAGAAGTTCAATGAGATGATCTCGGACACCCTCATCCAGGCTATGATCAAGAAGAACACACCCGAGCCGCTCAGGACACAGGTGATGATGCAACCGTTCACGTCTTATCAGACTATACGTGAGACCTGCGAGTCCTTCGCTCAGCAGATGAGCCAGCGAGACACGAAGACGGCCCAGAAGAAGTTCGACCCCAATGCCATGGACGTAGACGCCTTCGGCAACGGTGGCAAGGGCGACTCCAAGAGGAAGGGCTACGGCAGGTCAGACATGAAGGGCGGCAAGGCGGGTGGCCAAAAGGGCGCAGGGGGCCGAGGCGGCAAAAGCGACGGAAAAGGCAAGACAACGAGTAAGAAGGGAGAGGTGAAGTTCTTCGACGGATGGTGCTCTAACCCACACTGGCAAGTATGGACACAAGATGGCGGATTGCAGGAAGTACGGAGGCGGCGCGTACCAATCTGGAGGAGGCCAACGGTCTGTGTCAGAGGTCCAGCCAGGATCTTCACAGCCACCTGGATCGGGCACAGCAAGTACGGTCCATCCAGGCGATTCAGCATCACAGATGTCGGTACCTACGCAGGCCACAACACGTGTGCCTGGACGGGTGCAGGCGGCAGTACTACCAGAGGACGAAGCGGGTTGGATTTTTGCGTTCACGGACGACCACGACGGGGACGAATGCGAGATGCTCGTTGACAGTGGAGCTCACACTCATGTCGTGCCAAGGACTATGACGGAGGGGTGCGAACTCACGGGCGAGCCAGGTCAGTCTCTGCGATCGATTACTGGAAAGGGTATACGGACATGGGACAAGCGCGCGTTGACTGGAGAGGTTTTCGATTCAAATACGACGATCAGTGCGAAGCTCAACGTCACTCCAGCTGAAGTCCGTAGAGGTGCACTTTCAGTCGCGGAGATGAACGATGCAGGTTATTCAGTGCACTTTGACCCTGACGGAGCCAAGATGTTCAGAAGCAACAAGAATGTGCAGCATGAGATTTGCAAAGCACTGGGGTCTACTGTTTCACTCCAGCTACGTTGGAAGGTGGATGCATTTCTTCTTCCGATGAGGTTCAAGGATCCGGCGGGTGACGAGTCCATCATCGGGGACGTCGACGAGCAACTTGAGAAGGAGGACGCACAGATGACGGAGGAGTCCGTCGAGAAGGAGCCTGCCGAGATGCAGGTCAGCAGGGGAGCGGCTAGTTCACGCGATGGCCCACGTGGCGCCGCTGGTGGGGCCCAGGATTCGCTGGGGGCGCCCGCCGCACCTGGTCTCAAGAGGCCAGTTCAAGTGTTGGGAGAACTTGTCAGAGCGCACATTCGGAGAGGTCATGTACCTTTCGAGGCTTGGTGTCAGGAGCGCATGATGGGAAGGGGGCAAGAAGACCCTCGCCGCGCAAGGGATCCAAACGCATCGGCTACTCCAGTTGTCTCATTCGACTGGGTTTCTCAGTCTTGGCGAAGATGGCGCTTGTCACAAACTCACCCTGGCGGTGGGCAAGGACCGAAGGACTGGATACCTCATGGGAGTTGTTGTCGAGGCGAAAGGGAACCAGATCTACGCCATAGCAGCCATCAGCGAGTTCTGGGACGAGCTGGGCTACATGAGCATGGGGGTGCAGTTGGACGGCGAACCTGCGCTGGAGGCCCTCATGAATGGGGTTGTTTCTGAGCGTACCAAGAAGCTTGGCAAGGAGGCTGCGCAGGCTTCACTCCGAGTACGGCTGGTTCCGAAAGGAAGCCATGCGTCTCAAGGAGGAGCTGAGAGTGGAGTCAAGTCTGTAGCAGGTCTTGCCAGGACTGGGCGCTTGGCCCTGGAGAGACGTTACAACATGAAGTTCACGGAGGATGTTCCCGTCATTCCCTGGATGATACGTCATCAGATATTCTGCCACAACAGATACCAGCGGAGGAGGAGCAGCGGTCGCACATCTTTTGAGGAGTTGAGATTGGCACCGCATACACCACCCATGCTGGAGTTCGGGGAGACGGTGATCGGTAAGGAGCACACCGAGCTGCAGGACAAGCTGGGCACGGCCTGGTGCAAAGGAATGTGGCTTGGACGCAGTGCGAAGAGTGGCGCTCACATCACAGGTACAGCAACTGGGATAGTTCAAGCCAGGACGGTGAAAAAGCTTACGAAGGAGGAGAGTTTCGATACGGAGATTCTCAGAGCTATGCGATGGACGCCGTGGAAGACCTCGGTGAAGGCTGGAGTCTACGACGGCGAGAACTGGCAGCCAACGGAGGGATGTCCTGGGCGTGAGTACGCAGCAAAGGGTCAGCACGGACGTGGCCGACCACCACACCACGGGAGGACATGCCAGCAACGTCGGGCCGAGTATGAGAAGACTGTTGCCAGCAAGGCCGAGGAGCAGCCCAAGGCCGTCGTGGTTCCAGTGCCCGCGATCAGCTCCGAGGCAGGCCATGGCAATCAACAAGCACCAGCAGGGCCAGAGCCAGCGCAAAGTCGAGATCCAGTTTCGGAGGTCCGGCAGCAGGTGCATAGGATCGAGAGGGGGCTTCGTGGCAAGCAGGAGGCTCCTACCCCAGGATCGTCTAGCAAACGGGATGCTGCGGGCGCAGACCTTGGCGAAGGCGGCCCTGGGCCCACCAGGCAATCGAGGCCTGGTGGGGGCCATCGAGGACATGAGCACGGAGGACCTCAAGAGGCTCGTGGCAGGCTTCAGCACCGAGGAGATGATGAGGCTTGTGGCCGAGGTCGACAAGGAGACGAAGGACGACAGCGAGTTCAGCGTCGCGATGGGCTGGGCGGAGGACGACGAGTGGGAGGCGAAGCAGTGCGAGCTGGATCGGTTCGACAACTACGACGTGTGGGAGCTCACCCTCAGGGACCCTCATGGGCCCAAGGCTCTTACGTGGACATGGGTCTTAGAGATGAGGAGTGGCGAGCTCAAGGCAAGGCGTTGTGCGAGGCCATTCGGTAAGCAGGTCAACAAGAGCAAGAACGGGCTGTATTGCCCTATTACACTTCCGTTTTCACTCAAGTTGTTCATGGTGTACGCTATCGTCAAGGACTTTGCGATCTATTTCTTCGATATATCTCGAGCGTTTCTGTATGCACCTATTCGGGGGTTGGTTTATGCTGAGGTTCCGAAGGAGTACTGCCACTTACCAGATAGTGCAGATTGGGTTTTCAACCTCAACAAGACAGTTTATGGACTCAACGAGGCAATGACATATTTCGATGGCCACTTCGAGAACATTGCTACAGGACGGAGTGATGAACCAAATATGACTTTCAAGAAGTTTCTGTCGGATCCGTGCACGTTCGCAGACAAGACCAATCAGGTGGCGATGTCACAGCATGTCGATGACGGTACACTGGTTGGGCCTAGAGTTTCAGCCAGCAGAGTGTTGGAGGAACTCGGCACACACTTGCTGCTTAAGGTTCCAGAACTTACGGTTGGTGGTCCAGAGATCAAGCATCTTGGACGTGGTTGGCCCCGTATCCCCGAGGGCATTCAAGTTCGCATGTGGCCTGCTATTGCGAAGCAGCTACTCGACTCTGAGCCCAATGATACGAAGACGAGCCCAATACCTGGAATCAAGAATGAGAGGAAGGTCGAGAGCGAGGAGGAGTTAGACGCAAAGGCGGCCACGAGGTTCAGCATCAACGGTCTCAACATGTCCGTTTGCTTAGAGAGGCCCGAGTGCCAGTACGCGGCGAAGGAGTGCTCGAGGGGGATGTCGCGACCAACGGTGCAGGACCAGACGAGACTTATACGTATCATCAGGTTCATTCGAGCTCATCCGTCGTCGGTGACATGTATGTATCCAGAAAGTGGTGAGTTCAGATTCATAGGACGTGCAGATTCAAACTGGGCAGATGATCCAATCGGAAGGAAGTCTACCAGCTGTGGCGAGTTGTTTCCCAATGGGGCTTTGATCATGCAGTTTGTCAAAACACAAGGGCTTCCAGCACTATCGTCACCCGAGGCCGACTTCAACGCGCTCGTGCACGCCGGTATCGAGGCGAGGGGTGCCCATACATATCTCAAGGAGCTCCTGGACGACACAGTGCCTGTGACGCTGGAGAGTGACAACTCTAGCGCGCTCACGAATGTCGAGAAGAAGGGAGTTGGTAGGATGCGCCAGATCGAGCTGGAGGACCTGTGGATCAAGGACCTCGTCGCACGGAAGGCGGAGACGAAGGTCAGCACCAACGAGGTCCATACCGAGGAGAATACAGCAGACATCGGGACGAAGCATTTGTCGAGGACCGATTTCATGAAGCATCTGACGGCGCTGAAGGTATGGCTTACTGGAAAAGGTGAAGTTGGATGAGTTTCGAGTTCAAGCAACGACAAGACGGGCCAGATCGGTAAACCTGCGCTGGAGCTAATGGGTGCACTTGCCCAATGCTTGGTGGGTCTTGGTGCGCTTCTTCAAGCTGGACGCGCAGATGCTACTGAGATAATTAAATGTGACTACGAGCCAGTCGCGATCTCAAGCCCTGCAGATGATGAGAGCCATTTTGGCGTTCCCACAACGGTCGCGATGATGATGCTCACCCTTTTAAATGTTATCGCAGCGAGTGCAGTCTTCAAAGCCAAGCAGCACATCGACCGTATCACGCAGCCAGCACAGAAAGATGTCACAACTCAGTACAGCCTGAAGGACACGATGAAGAATGGAGCTACGAGCAAGATCGTGGCCAATGATCTTCGGGCTATGTTCACAGCTATGACTATAGACAGTGGGCGGGAGTTTCTACGACTACGGCGGGTGGATCGGGCCATCTCGACATATACAAACGCGATGGTGTTCGAAGCATGCGTGGCGACCGCCCTCAACGAGAGAAGGCAGGACACGATCTACAGTGTTGATAGGTTTGTCGGGATTCGGCACCCTCACTCGCAGGCCATGATTCGATATTGATATGTTTCCAGATTACGTGCCCGATCTTGGCATGAAGCTGCAGATGGGCCCGAGGAGGAGTGCAGGAAACAAGGTATATATCAGTGATTTGAGTGAGGATTGTTGTGCATGCGCTGTTGTGACATTTGTGTACTGTGGAGAGCCAGTGTTGGCCCAGTTCATGCTGAGGTGGAAAAGAGATTTCACCAGCCCTGTCAGGCAAGGTCCGTGGATCCCAGCTCCGCTAGCCGAAGTTATAAATATACCATGCGCTTATTAGTTCAGTACTTGCAGGGCCCTCGCAACAATAAGCGAGACCCTGGGACAATTAAACGGGACCCTAGCAAAACTCAACGATACCATAGGAAAACTAAACATGACCCTAGCAAGAGTAAGCGACACCCTCGCACAACTAAACAGGACCCTGGCACAACTAACCGAGACCCTGGGGAAACTAAACGGGGCCCTAGCAAAACTATGCGAGACCCTCGGACAACTAAACAGGACCCGATCAAAACTTAATTAGACCCTAGGAAAACTAAACATGACAATGCCAACACTGAACTAAACCTTAGGCAAACTAAACAGGACCCTACCAACACCCAACGAGACCATAGGAAAACTAAACAGGACCCTACCAAAACTAAACGAGACCCTAGGACAACTAAACAGGACCCTCGCAAAACTAAACGAGACCCTAGGAAAACTTAACAGGACCCTACCAAAACTAAACGACGAGACCCAGCGAACACTACACAGGACCCTGGGAACGCTAAACGAGACCTTAGGAAAACGAAACAGGACCCTGGAAAGATTAAACGAGACCCTAGGACAATTGAACAGGACCCTACCAACAAATAAACCAGACCCTAGGAAAACTAAACCGGATCCCGCCGACACTAAACGAGACCATAGGGCAATTGAACAGGACCCTACTAAAACTAAACGAGACCGTCGGTCAACTAAACAGGACCCTGGCAAACGTAAACGAGACCCTAGGAAACTTACACAGGACCCTGTCCAAACTAAGCCAGATCTTAGGAAAACTAAACAGGACCCTGTCAAAACTAAACGAGACCCCAGGAAAACTAAACAGGACCCTCGCAAAACTAAACGAGACCCTAGGACAACTAAACAGGACCCTGCCAAATCTAAACGAGACCGTAGGACAACTAAAGGGGACCTTAGCAAAAGAAAACAAGACCATAGGACAACTAAACAGGACACGACCAAGCCTAAACGAGACCCTAGGACAACTAAACAGGACCCGAGCCAAACTTAACCAGACCCTAGGAACACCAAACAGGACCCTCGCAAAACTAAACGAGACCCTAGGACAACCCAACAGGACCGTAGCACAAACTAAACGAGACCATAGGACAATTAAACAGGACCCTGGCAAAACTAAACGAGTCCCTAGGAAAAACCAAACAGAACCTTACCAGAACTAAACGAGACCATAGGTCAACTAAACAGGACCCTGGCAACATTAAACGAGACCTTAGGAAAATTGAACAGGACCCTACCAACACTAAACGAGGCCCTGGGACAACTAAGCAGGACCTTACCACAACTAAACGAGACCCTAGGACAATTAACCAGGACCCTAGCAACACTAAACGAGACCCTAGGACAACTTAACAGTACCATCGCAAAGCTTCACGGAACCATAGAACAACTAAACAGGACCCTACCACAACTCCACGAGGCCCTAGGACAACTAGACCAAAACTAGGGAGATCCTAAGACAAGTAAACAGGACCCTACCAACAATTACGAGACCCTAGGAAAACTAAACAGGACCCTCGCAAAACTAAACGAGACCTTAGGACAAGTAAAGAGGACCCTACCACAATTAAACGAGACCCCAGGGCAACTAAACAGGACACTAGCAAACGTAAACGAGACCCTGGGACAATTAAACAGGACCCTGCCAGAACTACACGAGATGTTAGGGCAAGTAAACAGGACCCTCGCAAAACTAAACGAGACCCTAGGACAACTAAACAGGACCCTGCAAACATAAACGAGAACCCAGGAACACAAAACAGGGCCCTAGCAAAATTAAACGAGACCCCAGGAAGACTAAACATAATCTTAGCAAAACTAAGCGAGACCCTAGGACAACGAAACAGGACCTTGGCAGATTTGAACGGGACCCTAGGCAAACGAATCAGGACCCTACCAACACTAAACGAGACCCGAGGAGAAAAAAAAAGGACCCTCGCGCAACTAAACGAGACCATGGGACAACTAAACAGGACCCTGCCAAAACTAAACGAGACCCTAGGACAACTAAACAGGACCCTGGCAAAAGTAAACGAGACCCTCGACCAACTAAACACGACCCTAGCAACATTAAGCGAGACTCTCGGACGACGAAACGCGAGACCCTAGGACAATCAAACAGGGCCCTACCAAAAGTAAACGAGACATTAGGACAACGAAATAGGACCCTGCCAACAACTACGAGACCCTAGGCAAACCAAACAGGACCATGCCAAAACTAAACGATACCCTAGGAAAACAAGACCTTAGCAAACCGAAACGAAACTTTAGGCAAATTAAACAGGACCCCGCCAACACTAAACGACACCATAGGACAACTAAACAGGACCCTTGCAAAACTAAAAGAGACCCTAGGAAAACGAAAGAGGACTTTAGAAAAACAAGCGAGACCCTAGGAAAACGAAACAGGACCCTACCAAAACTAACCGAGGCCCTAGGACAACTGAACAGGACCCTCGCAAAACTAAACGAGACCATAGGAAAACGAAACAAGACCCTACCAAAACTTAACGAAACCCTCGGACAACTAAACAGGACCCTGCCAAAACTAAACGAGACCCTAGGACAACTAAGCAGGACCTTACCAAAAGTAAACGAGACCCTAGGTAGATTAAACAGGACTCTGGCAAAAGTAAACGAGACCCCAGGACAACTAAACATAACCTTACCAGAACTAAACGAGACCCTAGGTCAACTAAACAGGACCCTGGCAAAATTAAACGAGACCTTAGGACAACTAAACAGGACCCTCGCAAAACTAAACGAGACCCTAGGACAACTAAACAGGACCTTAGCAAAACTAAACGAGACCCTAGGACAACTAAACAGGACCCTATCAAAACTTAATTTGACCCTAGGAAAACTAAACATGGCAATGCCAAAACTAAACGAAACTTTGGGCAAACTAAACAGGACCCTAGCAAAACTAAACGAGACCATAGGGAAACTAAACAGGACCCTCGCAAAACTAAACGAGACCCTAGCAAAACTCAACAGGACCCTCGCAAAGCTAAACGAGACCCCAGGTCAACTAAACAGGACCCTGGCAAAATTAAACGAGACCTTAGGACAACTAAACAGGACCCTCGCAAAACTAAACGAGACCCTAGGACAACTAAACAGGACCTTAGCAAAACTAAACGAGACCCTAGGACAACTAAACAGGAGCCTACCAAAAGTAAACGAGACCCTAGGACAACTAAACATGACCCTACCCAAACTAAACGAGACCCTCGGAACACTAAACAAGACCATACCAAAACTAAACGAGACCTTAGGGCAATGAAAGAGGACGTTAGAAAAACTAAACGAGACCCTAGGGAAACGAAACAGGACCCTACCAAAACTAAACGAGACCCTGGGACAAAACAAAACATGTAAACAGGACCCTGCCAAAACTAAACGAGACCCCCGGAAAATTAAACGGGGCCCTAGCAAAATCAAAGGAGACCCTGCGTCACATGTCGGCTCGAACCCCCTGTTGCTCAGCGCCCTTTGCTTCGCCACTAGCGCACTCGCTGCGCCTTATTCCGCCGTGCGCGAAGACGCCGCCTCTGGCGCGTCGCGCGCTGCGCGGTCTCCATGGCGGCGCCGCGGCCGAACTTCGAGGCCGCGCGCGTCGAGGCGGTCGAAGCGCACCTGCTGGGGCAACGCGCCAGCGACAAGAAGATCAGCTGGCACACCGCGCTGAATAACCACGCCTCGACGCGCCCTGAAGAGTGCGGATGCGCTTTGGTCCGAGCCGTCACCAATTGCAAGGAATTCGCTGCCCCTGGCGCGGGCTGGCGGTGCACCCTGACTTTGCCGAACAGCTTTGCGCCGGGAGATGGCCGTCGGCTCGTTGCGATCGGGGAGAGCGAGACGAAAAACGAAGCGTCGGAACTCGCTTGCCACCGAGCCGTCGCTTCGCTCGTCATCGAAAACCCAGGCCAGGTTGTGCTCCGACCGGTGCGCTGGAAGGTAACGCCCGACGTGCTCGTGGCCAATCTGCCCGGCGTCGCCGCCGACCCTGCCTCTGGCGGGCACGCGCTGCCAGTGCGCACCCCTGCGCGGCTCCAGGGCGCGGGCTCGGAGGCTGACGCGCATGACGCTGGCGCGCGCTTGGTTGAACTCGTCGAAGACATTCTCAAAACGCACGGCGGTGAGTTCGATCCGTCGTGGACTTCCCGGAAGAAGGCGCGTTGGCGCGACGAGCGCCCGTGGGGCACATCCAATGAGCTTTTATGCCTGGGGGGCTGAAGGGCTTCCTCGACAAACACTCCGATAAATTCGCTTGGCGCGCGCACGCACGCAACAAAGGCACGCTCATCACATGGGCGAACTGGGTGACGCAGGAGGGGCGCGGCGCCCCGCAACCATGGGAGCGCCCCGCCACGGGCGAAGCCGCCCCGCCACGGACAGCGCCCCAACAGGGAGTGGCCTCAGGAAGCGGCCTGAAGCGGCCTGAGGGTGCCCCGCCAACTCACCGTCCTCAGGAAGCGGCCTCAGGAAGCGGCCAGAATGCACTGCCTCGGGCGTCGCCCGACAATTCACCGCCCTCAGGAAGCGGTCAGGATCAGAGCAACCCTTGGGAAGACCTTGCCTAGGCCTCTGGCGTGGCCGATTCACTGCCTCTGGCCTGCCGCTGCCTCTGGCGCGTCTTCTGAGGCCAACGCGGCGCCGCGGCAGCTGTTGCCTTGCCTAGGCCTCTGGCGTGGCCGAGTCACTGCCTCTGGCCTGCCGCTGCCTCTGGC